GTATATATAGGTCAGGAAAATTAGAAAAAAAAAATATTACGTATGTCAAATAGGTGTGAAATAAATAAATATTCGTTGAGGCATTAATAATTGCAATTAAACACTTTGTAACAAAGGTTGTCCAATCGTAATGTGTTAAGTCTAAGATCCAACGAAGGTGTCATGTAATTGGAATAAATAAGAGTCAGACTAGCAGCACGCTAATTTCTTTATAAATATAGGTCTAAGATCCAACGAAGGCGTCGTAATTGGAATAAATAAGGTCAGACTAGCTAATTTCTTTAAAATTAATGGGTCTAAGATCCAACAAAGGTGTCATGTGATTGGAATAAATAAGGGTTAGACTAGTAGCACGCTAATTTCTTTATAAATATAGGTCTAAGATCCAATGAAGGTGTCATGTGATTGGAATAAATAAGGTCAGACTAGCTAATTTCTTTAGAATTAATGGATCTAAGATCCAAAGAAGGGTCGTGTGATTAGAATAAATAAGGTCAGACTTAGAATAGTACGCTAATTTATTTAGAATTAATGGGTCTAAGATCCAATGAAGATGTCATGTGATTGGAATAAATAAAGTCAGACTAGCTAATTTCTTTATAAATATAGGTCTAAGATCCAACGAAGGTGTCATGTGATTGGGTCAGACTAGAACAGCACAGCACGCTAAATAATGGGTCTAAGATCCAACGAAAGGTCATGTAATTGGAATAAATAAGGTCAGACTAGCTAATTTCTTTAGAATTAATGATTTAAGATCCAATGAAAGTGTCGTGTGATTGGAATAAATAAGGTCAAACTAGCTAATTTATTTAGAATTAATGGGTCTAAAATCTAACAAAGGCATCATAATTAGAATAAGCGAGGTCAGACTTAGAACAGCACACTAATTTCTTTATAAATATAGATTTAAGATCCAACGAAGGTGTTTTGTGATTGGAATAAATTAGGGTCAGACTTAGAACAGCGCGCTAATTTCTTTAGAAATAATGAGTCTAAGATCCAACGAAGGGTCGTGTGATTGGAATAAATAAGGTCAGACTAGCTAATCTTTAGAAATAATGGGTCTAAGATCCACAGAAGGGTCATGTAATTGGAATAAATAAGCTAAACTAGCTAATTTCTTTATAAATATAGGTCTAAGATCCAACGAAGGCGTCGTAATTGGAATAAATAAGGGTCAGACTATAACAGCACAGCACGCTAAATTCTTTAGAAATAATGAGTCTAAGATCCAACAAAAGGTCGTGTAATTGGAATAAATAAGGTCAGACTAGCTAATTTCTTTAGAATTAATGGTTTAAGATCCAATGAAGGTGTTGTGTGATTGGAATAAATAAGGTCAGACTAGAACAGCACAGCATGCTAATTTATTTAGAATTAATGGGTCTAAGATTCAACGAAGGCATCGTAATTAGAATAAGTGAGGTCAGACTAGCTAATATTTAGAAATAATGGGTCTAAGATCCAACGAAGGCATTGTAACTAGAATAAATAAGGCCAGACTAGCTAATCTTTAAAATTAATGGGTCTAAGATCCAATGAAGAGTCGTGTGATTGGAATAAATAAGGGTCAGACTTAGAACAGCATGCTAATTTCTTTAAAAATAATGGGTCTAAGATCCAATAAAGGGTCGTGTAATTGGAATAAATAAGATCAGACTAGCTAATCTTTAGAAATAATGGGTCTAAGATCCAACAAAGATGTCGTATGATTGGAATAAATAAGAGTCAGACTAGAACAGCATGCTAATTTCTTTATAAATATAGGTCTAAGATCCAACAAAGGCGTTGTAATTGAAATAAATAAGGTCAGACTAGCTAATTTTTTTAGAATTAATGGGTCTAAGATCCAATGAAGGTGTTATATGATTGGAATAAATAAGGGTTAGACTTAAAACAGCATACTAATTACTTTAGAAATAATGGGTCTAAGATCCAACGAAGTCGTCGTAATTGGAATAAATAAGGTTAGACTAGCTAATTTCTTTAGAATTAATGGGTCTAAGATCCAACAAAGGTGTCGTGTGATTGGAATAAATAAGGGTTAGACTTAGAACAGCATGCTAATTTCTTTAGAAATAATGAGTCTAAGATCCAACGAAGGCATCGTAATTGGAATAAATAAGGTCAGACTAGCTAATTTCTTTAAAATTAATAGGTTCAATCTTCTTGAAAATGTTATAGATTCGCTCTTTTTGAACGAGATACCAATGTATGTTGATCTTTATTAAAATGCTTATAAGTTTTATCTATTTTTATAAGATATCATATCAACTTACTTGCTTTTTTCCCAAACAATCATTTATAGAGGCGTTTTAATTAATTTCTGTTATTTTTGCTTTTCAATTAGTTTTACTTTTTTTGCGTATTTAGATACTTACAAAAAATCAAATAAGCACAAGGTATCTTAAATACCTTAATAGTAATAAACTTGGATTAAAGAAGGAAAAGTGTTGGCAGATATAATAATTTCATCAAAGAACTACAATTCAAAGCTACGGAATATGAAAGGTTGTTGAGTAGATTTCATTTGATAAGTAGATATAATTTAGTAAACACCAACTAGCTATGCTGACTTCTTTGAATTGGGATGAAAAGCATTAGTGGATGCATTTTGCAAAAGCTTCATGCTGACTTTGAATTTTTTTGATGAAATAGAGGAAATGCATTAGCAGATGTACTCTGCAAGAACACCATGATAACTTGGACCTTTTTGATAATGATCTTGAATCAAAAGGAGAAATATTAACATCTTAAGCAAAAAAAAAAAAAATGCAACTTTTATCTCAAAAAAAATTTTTTTTTTTTATACACTGCGTCTAGTGTATTGCCTCAATCACATAACCCTCGATCATTGATAAATTAGGCTTGATGATCGAGTATGATGTTATAAGCTCGATCAAAGGTGAGTCAATTAATGATCGATTATGTTAACCGATTAAATGGTTAAAAATTTGATCGATTAAAAAAATCTCTAAAAATTCTTTTATTTTACAGGATATCATTATAAAATACTATATAATAGATCAATGGTTGACCCAATGATTGGTCGATCATGTGTGTTTGAGCAAATAAATTACATGCTTGATCGATCATAATCGATTAAACATACATAATTAAATTTTGTTCAATACAAAAAAATTTTTTCTATCAATCATCGATCAACAATTTTTTTTTGTCGAGTTAATTCCCTAACTGTGTCCAACTACCAAAAGTTGATATACTTATGATTTATTTGTCATTAACCTTTTTTTAAATAAAATTTTAAAAACATATCAAAGTAATTTATACATGTCAGATATTGAAATAAAAAAAAAGTTAGCTAATGGCGCTTTATAGTGTTCAAAGACAAGCCGGCTTATCACGGCTTGCTGCGGCTTAATGCGGCTTATCACATGATAAATTCGAAGTTATCACCAAGCCATGCGATAATCGCGAAAATATCACGTGATAAATTCGAAGATATCACATGGCTTGGTGATAACTTAGAATTTATCACGTGATAAGCCGCATTAAGCCGCAGCAAGCCGTGATAAGCCAGCTTATCTTTGAACACTAGTGCTTTACTGCTCAATGTAATCCTTTTTGGTTCCACACCAAAAAATAATAGTTTTTTTTTTCTAAAGTTTATTTTAGGGTTTAATATTAGTTTTTTTTACAACTCTATTATGTAAATTATACAGGTCAAATCAAGCTGAGAGCATAACTTAAAACGAATGCCTCTATCTGACATTGAAATAATATAAATGATGTAGAATTATGCGATTTGTTTAATCACAATAAATCACTTACCATAACTTCAAGTTGAAGTAAAATTTAAGATATTATGCAGAAATGTTAGATATTGTGGCAGCATTAATATGCCCAGCATTAGGGGTCTGCCTTTAATCTATAGCAAAATTAAACTTAAATATTTAGTGGCTTTATATGCGATAACAGTCCTGAAATTCAGAAAATTTACGCACTTTTTATTAAATTTAAGCACTCATTGTGATACCATGAACGAAGTCACGAGGTATTCATTTGTCACCCAGATTCAAGAGAATTAGTTTTTGATAGAGTAAGTGATGTAAGTATTAAGTCATAGTAAACGGCTATTTAAGGGAGTCTCTGTTGCTAGCTCGACGCAAGTCTAGCTTTGTTGTAAATGCCCACCCACTCACCGCTGAGGTCGATAAAAAGAATTGAGGAGAAAAGGTAACAGTGTTTTCAATTAGACCGGGCGAGCAGTTCCGATATCATGCAAAGGGATTGGTGGCCTGACTAAACAAGTCAGATATTAAAGAATAAATTAATACTAGCTGTAGATCACGTGAGCAACGAGGCGAGATTCCATGTGTATTGATTGAGTGACGAATTAATTAAAATATTCTAAATTTGGAACTTTCTCTTTATTGATTTTTGGGTACATACACATATATAGTCAAGCTGCTAACTAATTTTGATATCTCAATAATTGAATCTGCATTTAGTCGCTTATATGTAGTGTTTTTGAAATTAGCGTTCTCAGAGATGCTATTATAAATTTGTACGCAGTGTAAATTTTTACTGCTCATTATTAAAATTTTTTTGGGAACAAATAATAATGAAGAGGATATATTAATATTTCAGTTTGTCATAACTAATAAAAATAAAACAAGTCTACTATAAAAGGTTTATTAAAACTGTCTTCTGTAAAATAATAATAGCAAGTTTGCCCAGAAATTTCATGATTGATCTGTAATCAAGCCATCAAATTATATTGGGTTGTAGTCTAAATCGTAGTAAATATGTAGTTAAATCGACAGTTTAAGAAATAAGAAAAGATTTAAATCTGAATTTCAAACACTGGCTGCATATTCTCAACGATTCTTTGTCATCCTGATAAGTCATTCTCAACAAAAGAATCTTGAGCAAAAAACATTTCGCTATAGACTAGATTGCCCAGCAATATTTCTATATAAATATCCACGCACTTTTTTTTAAGTCAGTTTATTAGTATCCTTTTAAAAAAAAAAATGCCACCTAGACGTAGTCATCTGTTTAAACAAAAAAGACAACCTATCAGGCAACTCTTCACTAAACATAGACCAGAAGTAAAGATTATATATCATCAAATACTATTTGGAAGCTTAACTCATATTTCTGAAAATGAGGAAACTCAAATTAATAAAAATCCTTCACACAATGCTATTATAATCGACCTACCTCCTTTGCATAATGATTTACCATCTTCACCTCCTTTGCACGAAGATTTTTCACTGCACGATGTAATTATAATCGACTTAATTGATGATTCGCCTCTTTCACCTTTTTCGCATGAAGATTCTCCTCCTTTGCATGATGATTCTCCTCCTTTGCATGATGACTCACCTCTTTCACCTTAAAATTTTTTTATTATGAAACTATTTTATACTTCACCAAAACCTGTTGTTAGAATTTTTTAATATTATTTTACATGCCTTTTTAGAAAATTTTAATTCCTATTCTCTGGTAAGATCAATTTTCGTTCAAACAAAGCTTTTATTCATTCTAATTATTCTTAGTTTCTTGTCGAAGACAAAAAATTCGTTTTTAAAAAATTAGACTAAATTTCAATTCCTATTCTTTGGCAAGATACATTCTCATTCCATATAAAATTTTTTACTTGGATTTCATTTACCATAATTCTTCATATATTCTTAACAAATATTAATAATATCTTGGTCACTTGGAATCCTAATCCAAGATTCATTTTTAATAAATACATCTTCAGAAAAAAAGATTTATTATTTTTTGGTATGAGACAAAAAAGGATTACATTAAGCAGTAGAACGCTTGAATTTAATGATTTCTATAAAGAGGATAACAAGCTTATGTGTAAATTTTGCCAATAGCTAGTTTTTTTTATTTCAATATTTGATATAAATTACTTTGTTACACTTATTTTTATAAATAAATAATAAACAGTTTTTGTTTAATTGAGTGCAGTATTTAAAACATATTTTTTTTATCAATTTTTTTTAAATCATTATTGAGAAATCGTCTCTGAATCTTGAAAATTTTATAAGGATCAATATTAATTAGCTGTTACGTCAAATGATCCGAATTTTCTACTCCATTTTTTACTCTACCACATATGAAAGACCGGGTCTTTTCTAGAATAGGTTTCATGCATACACATGATTCGGAATCATGCGCATTTTATCTATCTAAATTTATATAGGAAAATTAAAGAATATTTAATTTAGGCCAAAGTGCATAATTTCAGGCAAAATTAAGAAATAGGAATACAGAAGTCTTGAAGAATTCCAAAAGAAAATGAATGAACATAAAGATGGGAAAAAATTTTGGCAGATATCTGATATTTTCTGGAAGAAAATATAAAATCAAAAAAATTATATCATACGATATCATACGCATATGCGCATTAATGCGCATTCATGCGCATGTTGTTATAAAATGCAAATTTTTCCCATCTCTAGTCTTTTCATTTTAGTCAGTACTACAGTATATCCCTTATTCTTTCTGTTATGTCTATGACTAACTATATTAATATTTATCTAGGAATAAATAAGGTTTGCTCATTTGTAATTTGCTCCAATAAATACCATTGAGTCTAAATAGGTTTTATAGATTTTTGGCTTTTTCTCTCAATGAATGATAAATTATTAATAATTTGAATAAGAGAATATAGAGTTAGAGAAGTGTTTGATATCATAGGTAGTGATTTTGGCCGATAGTGAAAAAAATCAGCTAAAGAAAATTATCGACTTAGCCGGTCGATTTTTTTAAAATCGATTTAGTATAGTTAAAAATTTGCCATTACAAAAATTTCCGATATGGAAAATGAATAAATCTAAAATATGAATAAAGATTTTTGTAAATTCCAAAAAATTCAGGATTAAAGAAAATTAAATAGTACGGTAGGTTTGAACTAGCTGACTAAGCCGATAAAATTTATTGGCTTGGTTATAGCTGAAAAATTAAGCTCAGCCAGAATTACTAATCGTAGGGTAGGGCAGAGTTGGCAATGGATATACTCCATTGAGAAAATTACCAATGAAGCGAATGGAACCCAATGGAGCTAATGGAATGAATGGAGCCAATGACTCCTATAGAAAAATTCAACGAAACTGATGAAGAATAGGGCTCTAACCTATATCTCATACTGATAGCTGATAGCTTCTATTGGTTCTATTCAGAAACTATTCTCAATAGAGCAATGGAGCAATGTCAATGGATTCTCCATTTGTCTCAATGGATAAATATGCCAACCCTGGGTAGGGGTGAGGTAGAAAATATTTTAGTATATATATAACCAACCAGAATGACTAAATTTTTCAGGAGAAGGGAAAGGGATGAGCTCTATAGTAAACTGATCTCAGCTAATATCTGACACATCCATTATATGACATACGGTTGTTTTGTTTGGTTCAATCGAGATATTGATATACATTTTTAAACTAGTTTTTAGCACGCGTATATTGTTTTTTATATAATGTGCACCAACTCTTTTTTTTTGTCTAGTTTGTTTGAGATATTAATATTACATCCTAAACTGGTTTTAACACGTGTATTATTGTTTCTTCATAAAAGTTGTATACTGTGCGCCGACTCTTCATTTTGTCTAGTTTGTTTAAGAATATCCTAAACTGGGTTTAATGTGGGTAGTAGAAGATAGAGCGTGTATATTGTTTCTTCATAAAGGTTATATAATGCACGTCAACTCTTTTTTTTTTTGTCTAGTTCATTTAAGATATAAATATTACATCCTAAAATGGTTTTAACATGGGTACTAGAAGATAGAGCGTGTATATTGTTTCTTCATAAAGGTTATATAACATGTGCCGACTCTTTTTTTTTTGTCTAGTTCGTTTGAGATATTAATATTGCATCCTAAACGGGTTTTAACATGTGTATTATTGTTTCTTTATAAAAGTTGTATACTGTGCGCTGACTCTTCATTTTGTCTAGTTCGTTTAAGAATATCCTAAACTGGGTTTAACGTGGATATTAGAAGATGACAGATCCAGGATGTAGGTGAGATTTTCCGGGTCCGGCCTCCGATCACTCCTCCGATCAATATCGGGACAAATCCCCCTAGTTACACAGTTACACAGATCAAACTATATACAATACAACCCCTTTTTTTCTTTTTTTTCATTAGTAATTTTTCGTCGTTCATGCTGGTGCCTCTTTTTGTGTATCGTATCACCGTATTGTGTCATATTTGCTAAGTGTTATGCTGTATACTATGTCATTTCGTATTTATTGGTCATTTACATTGTGTTTTTAGGATTAGAAGATAGAACGAGGTTAGCTTAGAGTTAGTCAGAAATGCGAAGAGATAGTTATAATATGTAATTTTAAAAAGTAAGTATAAACTTTATTATATTTGTTATAAAATTTTACATTAATTAATGTTATTTATAAATTTAGAACACATTTTTTTTTCTATTAGTACATAAGTATATAGTTAGGGTTAGATTGTTGCGCGGTTTAGAGTTAGAGGTAGGGTTAGTG